AACATATAAACAATAAACAACCACAGTCTGTGATGTTGCTACAGCGTAGCAACTAGCTGGAAACTTTTTCGTTACTAATACTGAAAGTAATTCGCACCAGGGAGGAGGTACGGCCCGCGAAACGAAGGAATCCATTCCTCTGCTCCAGTAGGCGAGGCCGCGTACGAACTCTGGCCGTCTGCACTGATCTAGGGCTCACCCCCGATGGCGAGGGTGGAGGCGTTGCGCCGCTGTTTGATCCTACTCAACTGCAGCAGTACCCGATAATCCTCACAGCGACAATCAGTGGAAACTGATACGAACGGTATGACACAATCTCGTCTCTTGCCGAAAGAAAAAAAAAACGTAAAACCGGTTGACGCCGCACCAAACGCAGTCGCGCTGACGCCCAGTCATCCGCAGCGAACGAGAGTACTAGCACTAAGACTTAGCAGTATCTCGACCATACACCTATTTCCTACTGAAGCCCACCACTGGCTCTTTCTTTTAGTACTCCTCTACGTACCCCACTACTCTCCTTGACCAGCTTCCTAGCACCATTTCAATCATTTTGATGATATTGGTATTCCTAAGCGTCATCAATTTCCGCAACTACCAGTTTCTATATGATCACCACAAATCAAGTATTTCGGACCGTTGCGTACATATAAATATAGAACGGACGACTATATTGCAGCTGATACCTGGTAGAGAGAAAAGTGTTTGAGTTTTCGAAAAAATCGGTTGTAGTAAGTTTTATCACTCCACAGAAGCAGTAACAACAACAACATATAAAGCCAGTTCACATACCTCTGGTGGTAGTTTAGAAGTACGTCCTCTTGCTGCCATAGCCATCTTGAAAGCTTTGTTGAGTTAGAGCTGATGCGAAGCACAATCTGAACAGATTTCGAGTTAGTTGCTGCAATCTGGCCACAAACTCTACCTGTGGCGACAAAACACAGAATTTGATCTAGGATAACAAAGAAACAAGTCAATCCTTCAAAGAATAAATGTCAAGCAAGACGCAGAAAGGATTCAGACATCACTGGCTTTAACAGACGTCTAATAAAAAATGCTCAGTGAAATTGCGGCCGCTGCACCCTCTGTAACGCCTTTTCAGCTATTTTTGCTGAATATTTTCGCTTATTTTAGTTCCTGTTTCGTATGACTAGTAGCATTTTAGCACTTTCTAGTCATTTACTATTTGACGTGCTTGTTGAGGTGCTAATTAGGCAATGTATC